AAAAGAGAGTAGTAAAATATGGACCCTGGACTTCAGAAAAGCAGACTTTGACTCCCTTAGGGAACTGATGCGCAGGATCCCCTGGGAGGCTAATATGAGGGGGAAAGGAGTCCAGGAGAGCTGGCTGTATTTTAAAGAAGCCTTATTGAGGGTGCAGGAACAAACCATCCCGATGTGCAGAAAGAATAGAAAATATGGCAGGCGACCAGCTTGGAGTAACAGCGAAATCTTGGGTGAGCTTAAACACAAAAAAGAAGCTTACAAGAAGTGGAAACTTGGTCAGATGACTAGGGAGGAGTATAAAAATATTGCTTGAGCATGCAGGGGTGTAATCGGGAAGGCCAAAACACAACTGGAGTTGCAGCTAGCAAGGGATTTGAAGGATAATAATAAGGGTTTCTACAGGTATGTTAGCAACAGGAAGAAGGTCAGGGAAACACTTTGTTTTATCCTGTCTCCGCTGCTGACTCACTGGGTGGCCTTGGGCAAGTCACTTTGCTTTTCTCTCTCAGTTTTACCATTTGTAAAATGGACCCTTAATGAATGGAGTAGACAACCTACTGACAGATGATGTGGAAAAAGCTGAAGTACTCAATGCTTTTTTTGCCTCGGTCTTCACAGACAAGGGCAGCTCTCACACTGCTATCCTGGGCAACACAGTATGGGGAGGAGGAACAGCTCTCAGTGGTGAAAGAACAGGTTAAGGACTATTTAGGAAAGCTGGACGTGCACAAGTCAATGGGTCCAGATCTAATGCATCTGAGGGTGCTGAGGAATTGTCTGATGTGATTGCAGAGCCATTGTGCATTATCTTTGAAAACTCATGGTGATGGGGGCGGGAGGTCCCGGATGATTGGAAAAAGGCAAATACAGTGCCCATCTTTAAAAAAGGGAAGACGGAGAACCCAGGGAACTACAGACCAGTCAGCCTCACTTCAGTCCCTGGAAAAATCATGGAGCAGGTCCTCAAGGAAACCATTTTGAAGCACTTGGAGAAGAGGAAGGTGATCAGGAACAGTCAGCATGGATTGACCAAGGGCAAGTCATGCCTGATCAACCTGATTGCCTTCTACGATGAGATAACTGGCTCTGTGGATATGGGAAAAGTGGTGGATGTGATATATCTTGACTTTAGCAAAGCTTTTGATATGTGGTGGGGTGGTCACCCCGCTCCGGCTTGCAAATGGTTAAAAGCCAGCCCTTGGAGAGGGCTGGGGCTGAAAGCAGCCAAGGAAAGCTAATTGGGTAGGCAGCCACAGGTGTGGCCACACCCAATTAGGGTCCAGCTGGCCCTGATAAAAGGGCTTGGAGCTAGACAAGGGGAGTCTCACTCCACTGGTGGAGTGGGAAGGACCTGGCTGCTGGATAGAGAAGGGTATCTCAAACAGAGTAGTGCTGGGGAAGGACAGGCAGAGCTGGGGAGCTCTGGCCAGGCGAGTCCCCAAGCTGAGGCTGAGCTAAAAGGGCCTTTAGTACTGAGGCTGCAGCGATGCAGCCAGGCCAGGAAAAGGCAGCAGCCCCTTGCCAATCATGAGCAGCCATTTCAGACTAGAGTTTGCCCCTGAGAAAAGGGGCGAGATGAAGACAGGCGGTCGGTCACTGAGGCAAGGTGGGCTTCAGGGAATTGGGGTTCCCCAGGAAGGGGAGGATCCGTTCATGTGGGGGCACGGTTGTGGGGCACTACCCCAGAGAAGGGACACTGCAGGCTGGGAGGGACGTGGGGCCTGAACTAAAGGGTGGTACCTGAAGAAAGGAAGAAGTAGGCAGCAAAAGGGAGACACTGGCCAGCAGGAGGTGCTCCGAAGCTGGAAGAGCTAATTCCCAGACCAACCAGCAGGAGGCACCGTGCCAGTGAGTGCTGCGCCATGCTACAGTCTACCACAGTATTCTTGCCAGCAAGTTAAAGAAGTATGGATTGGATGAATGGACTATAAGCTGGATAGAAAGTTGGCTAGATTTTTGGGCTCAACAGGTAGTGATCAATGGCTCCATGTCTAGTTGGCAGCCGGTATGAAGCGGAGTGACCCGGGGTTGGTCCTGGGGCCTGTTTTGTTCAACATCTTTATTAATGATCTGGATGATGGGATGGATTGCACCCTGTGAAGTCGGTGGCAGAGGCAGGAATAGAACTGAGCTCTACTGAATGACGGTCACCTCTCTTAATAAGATCATCCTAGTTCTTCCTGCGCTCCCCTGCTCATTCTCTACAGGCCTTCCAGTTTCTAAAATGAATGAGGCAGGGGTTGTACAGGCAACAGCCTAATGCTGCACAACCCTGATTTATCCAGCCTGGGCACTGAAAGTGGCCGCCAGGGCCCTGCAGGAAAAATATTTCACTAGAAAACTTAATTTTAAAGACAGCCAATCTGGTTCCCTTGTGGCTAAATGGAGCCTGTCTTCTGGGTCTATAGATCCGCAGAGTTTTAAGACCCAAAGAGGCCATTGTGATCATCTGCTTCTCCCCTCACCAAAGGGACCCTTCCTGCTTAATGAAGTTGCAGATCCCCTCTCTGCCCCCTCTTCTCATCCATGTACAATGTCTCCATAAGGCATCTTGACTGGCTGGAACTGGGGTCCTTACAGAGAAACCTACTGCAGAATCCCTGGATTTCAACCTTCTTCCTAATAGTAGACATGTAGCTTCCAGGACTGACTCCCACAGAGACCAGAGTCACTGGTGCTGTTACACACCATGACTAAGCCTATAGGGCCCTGCCCAGCACTCTCAACAGACGTCTACTCTCCTCTTTACAGCTGATACCTTTATACCATGGGGGCAATTCACCTCACAGTTCTCCTGCTTCTCACAGAGGCTGCTACCTGCATTCCTAACTGAATTCCCTGCAGCCCTGCCCTGCCTCTCCTAACTAGCTACCCAGCCCATACCCTGGTTCTCGGAGGGAACTCCTCAGCAAATGAAGATGCTGATTTCTCCGTACAGTTGCTGGAAGGAGAATCCCTTAGAAGGAAAAACAGCCCTTCCGTACGAGCTCCATCTGCCATGATCCCATCTGGCCTTCCTGAGAGGCTCCGGTACCAGTTATATCCATGAGCCTCCTTGGAAAGCCCCAAATCTACTCTCTACCATCACACTACACTAGTGGCATAGCTAGGACAGGAAACCTGGATGGGCCCCGACTTTTGTGGTTTGGACAATGACGGGAGGGGCAGAGGGAGGGTTGCAGGAGGGATCCGGTGCCCTGGAGAGGGGATAGGAGGGAGAGGGGGATAACCTCCCTCCACCCCTTCCAGCCGGCCCTTACCACTCAGCAGGCACCCAAAGCTGAGGCTGCCCGGGGCACACAGGCTGTGGGGCGTGCCTAGGGTAACCAGATAGCAAATGTGAAAAATTGGACAGGTGGTGGGAGGTAATAGGCACCTATATAAGAAAAATCCCCAAATATCAGGACTGTCCCTATAAAATCAGGACATCTGGTCACCCTAGGTGCACCCTTTGTGTAAAGGGGGGTCCCGCTGGGGCTCGAGCTCCACACACCCTTCCCGACCCTGGCTTAGGGTCCGTCAGCCCAGCCACGTCCCTTTCCTGTCGGCGCCGGGACCTGATGCCCCAGTTTCCGGCCCCAGGATTAGCCCCGCCCAGACCTGCCCCCACAAGGCACACCCCCCGCTGGGCTAGCGCTGGGGTGAGACCAGGGAAACAGCGCACGGAGCTGGCAGGAGAGAGACACGGCCAGGCTGACGGACACCGAGCTGGGGTTGGGAGTCCCAGCCTGTGGATTCGGGGGCTCCGGCCCTGATTTGGGTGGGTCTGGATGCTAACTGGGTGGGCCACGGCCCACCTGTGGCTACACCCCTGCACTACGCTAGCTGCATGCAAACATTCTCCTGGTCCAGTCTTAGGGCGAACTGCTGGCTCCGTTGAAGTCAATGGAGGTTTTAGCATTGCCTTCAGTGGGGCCAGGATTTCACGCTTGGCCTTAAAATGTTATTTGGCTACCAAGATCCTTGAGCTGTTTGGATCCAGTGCACACACACTGCACCCGTCAGGTTGCTATACTAGTACATACTGTACCTCACACAGCCAGTGGGTGTGCCCTGCACTGACTCTGCTGCTTGTCTTTTAACATTGTCAGTCTCTCCTGGCTGCACCTGTGTCTGAACTCGGTGAGTAATTCCTAACTTACCACCTGTAGGACTCACTGATTCCGATACACATGCAAAGACTGAGATTCACATCCCAAAAACGTCACAATATTCACCAACAGAGAGAGTCCCCTTCCCTGCCCCCTCACGTTGGACTCAGAGATGACACCACACTTCAGGGGACAGCTCCAGTCAGAACCACCAGTGCCAGGAACTATATAACACTGGGAGCTCCTGCACTGGATCCAGGTGAACCAAGAAAGTTGCCACCTACTGAGCAAAGATCAGAGGGAACTACGGGAATTTATCAACAATAACTTGTTCCTGACCACGATGAACCCTGTTCTTGCATTGGTCAAACTCCCTCACGGCAAACTTGCCTAAATCATGCACAACTCACCTGCTAAGTTCTTGTGCAGACACCATTCACTGGCTTTCAGGCATTTAAACCTGGATAAAGTGACTACAAACCTCAGCAGCCATTCCACCACCACACACAGAGACTATTTTCCCAATTAGTAACCTGCAGGAATTCCTTCGCTCACTCATTTACAGGGTCTCCTGTCAAGGTCAGAGTTTTACAATCCTTATAGCACCTTCTACTTATAGAGTGAAAAGAATAAGTGTCTTCTCACAGAGGTTGTTCCCTTTAACACTGTGGCACACTCTGACCAGTGGCTTATGCCTTCTTATTGAGAAACTGTCCATAATTTCATATGCACTCTGTATTATTTCTAGTGTATAACAGGGACTGTTATTCAGTGTGTTTCCCATCTCTCCTGAGCCCAGGTGGTTCTGAATCACTCAGACTGCTGAATGGAGAGAGCCGGTGCGACGGGAGAGTTGAGATTTTCCTTCGTGGTGCGTGGGGCAGAGTGCTGGATGACCAGTGGGACATGAACGATGCCAGCGTGGTGTGCAGGCAGCTCCAGTGCGGAGTCGCTGAGAAAGCTTATAACCCCCCTACGTCTGAGCGAGGAACGGGCCCTGTGGTGCTGAGAAGGGTCCAGTGTGAAGGAAACGAGACTAATCTGATGCTCTGCATCATCTCCACATCTGAGGCAGAGCAGGCAGGAATTGCTGAAGATGTTGGCGTCGTTTGCTCAGGTGAGGTGACTTACTATGAAATCTTGCAAACATCCTGTCCTTGTTCAAGGGGAACATGACCTGTCCTAGGGCCTATATATTCCCCAACTGGTGCTGTGATCTCATCAGACCTTGAAAATATGTGGATCTGAGGATCAAACTCTGTTGTAAAAATATAGTATTATGTGCAGAGAAAAGCAAAGCCACAGGATTGGTTAATGCACTGCAGCAACCTTGCTGTCTGTCTGTCTTGTGTTTTTAATCAAAACTTTTTCAGATGTAAAACTGTTTCCTTGTTATGGAAATTTTCACAAACTTTTTTTATTTTCATTGAACATTGTCACCATTACAGGGTTAGCTGCTCCTCTCTCCCCTTTCTGGTGTCTCTATGTGCACCCACATGAGGCCTTGGCCCACTTGCCCTGTCTTGGGGTGGAATCTCAAGATTCTTCCTCCATTGGGCCTGGCCTGGTTCCACTACCCTGTGCAAACCAACCGTTTAGCACCCTGCAGGTCTGACTGGGTTTCAGGCACCAGCATTTCTTCCCCGGGGAACTTGTGTCCCGTGATAGTGACCGACAGCGTACTCAGAACAAAGCACTTTATTCAGCAGCTGGAACAACATATTAGAGCAAAAGTGGTTTAAAAAAACAAACACTCCACACTTGTGTTGCAGCTCATCTAATCTCTGCTTCACTGCAAATTAAGTGAGCTGGGCTTCCCTGGGGAGTAACAGGAAAAGAACAGAATGAGCCTGTGTTCTTGTAAGAACCAAGGTGCTCATGAGACCCAGCTGGGCTCAGTTTGTCTGCCCCACTCTGCTCCCCTTTCTCTGTGAAGTTGTTTTTTTCTGGAAGTCCCCACCCGCCCTGTGTGTGTCTGGGCTCAATTACCATATTGCTCAGTGGTCTGTGTTACAGGCCAGGTGAAGTCTTCCTTCTGCCGCAGACTAGTTTTCCCGGTTGGCCAGCCAGGCCATCTACGAGAACATCCCCATGATGATTGCTCCATTGTCCCAC